TAAGCACCCAAAATATCAAGCAACTTCGATCCAAGAAAAAGTTTTCGGATAGATTTATAGACCCTTTTCGAATAATAAATATAAAAACTAGTAATCAAGTATATAAACTCAAACTATTATTTATTTATAAAATTCACAATGTTTTCCACATTTCCTTATTAGAACCATAATATGAACAACAAGGTACTGCTGACCCACTATTATCAGAGGAGATAGACAATCACTTGAAATACAAAGTGGAGAAAATCATAGTATATAAAAAGAAGAATAAAGATATTCAATATCTAATTCAATAAAAGGACTACCAGCCAACAGAAGATATATGGGAAGCCTCCTGCGATTTGGATAATGCAAAAGAAGTATTAAAGGAATATAATAAAAAGAAGAAACTATCAATACAGAATTCAAAAGAAAAAAGGAAAAAAGCTATAAAACAATAAGGTTATACTGTATACCTATAAGCGAACCATTAGCAAATCGAAGCTATTCACAATATTCCTCCCTCTACTGTTTTCTACCCTGACAAAAACGAGAATACAACCCTTCACTCGCTGGTATACTGTATACTACTACCAAGCATACCAACTCATTCTAACATCTTTTGAATACTTCAAGCTTCAATTTGTAAATATCAAAATCAATATTAATTGAATTCTCATCAATACTTAACATATAGGATTATCGCCATTTCTTTTATAAGCCTTGTTTTTTACAAGAATATATCTTTAATTAATATAAGAATACCGTTGTGAAAGCATTGTTATATTAATATATTGAGAAAATCCTATAGTAAGAATTAACCCTTTTACCCTATATATTGAAAGGATCTAATACAAAAAGAAAAATACCAAAAATAGTATTATCTACATCACTATTATTATACTCACCCTTCTTTACTAAAGACATATCAATTTTATCCTCGTTCTTATTTTCCTTTTCCTCCATTTTTACAAAAGTTTTACTAGGCAATCAACCCTTTATTAACTGATTGTTAACAACCCGCTAGCACTTACAGGATCAAATACTTTCAGAAAAACCCGTACAAACATCAGACTCTCCAATATAAATATTACAATTCATAAAGGAAACCTTAGATTTTTATAAAACATTATAATCCCGATATTGAGAATCAGATAGAAAATCAGTAACAGCTGATACTGCCTTTTGCTTCGGAATTATTTGGAAAGTTTTATAAAAAGGAAGGATAGTTGAGGAGTCGACCTTCTGGTTGCAGATCGACGGATAAAAACTATTAAACCCCTAAAAACACACTTCTTTACCTGAGGAATGGTAATATCGATATTGCCTTGAAAGATATAAGGAATATCGGAGTGTCGAGAGGTACCAGTAATTTGGTAAAAAAAAGTAGTGCTACTATTATTATCGATATCATCCTTATTATTCTCACTAAAACCAGAAAAGGAATCCTCGGGGTATCTAATTCAATCTTTTTTGTATATTGAGAAATGAATATGGGAATAGAAACAAAACAACAATTTAATATCAATACAAGAGGATTGACAATCTTTCAAACCAATTATTATATTTATAGTATTTAAAACCTTATTCTTCGCAAAAGCAAAGGGCGGGGTGGGAGCGATAAGAGTATAAAAATAAATAATCAGAATAAGAAATTCACTCTTATCATTCAAATCTACTACGGATATCAATTTCAGAATGGAACCTAGAATAGCAATATCCAATATAAACAAATTATTCTAAAATCCAGAATATTAGTAAAAAACAATTTTATAAAAAAATGAGAAGTAACTAATAATAACTTAATAGAAATCTATAAAACGCTTTATAAAATCATCTATTCGATTCAGCTTTTTTACAACAAATAAAAATAATGTCTCTACTAACTCTAGCTTTTTAATATCACTTTGTTTATCTTCCTTCCACAAAAAGGCCTTTATACTCTTGATGTAGTATTTATTTCAATGTCTCAGTATATTTTCAGTATCCTATTCCTTTTGACTACCAATAGGAATAGTTAGCTAAAAAGCTTAAGTCTAATATATAAGATTGATATCGGAAATATATCACAAAGATATCAACTAGCAGACTTTCTTCTAGATATAATAATAATTATAAAAAGAATTAGAACCCTTATCGTAGTAATAAAAATCTTTAGGGGCAGAAATTGCAATACACTTAGAGCAACGAAGACATATAGGAATAATTAGATCAACAAGACCTGCTGCAAACCAAACTGTAATCACCTGGAAACCAATAGATTGAAAAGCAGTTATGATAAAATAAGAACCGGAAAGATAATAAATAAAGAATAACCTACTAAAAGAGAAAATACATTCAAAAAAATAAAGGAAACTTATAGAGCCTCTAATAATCTATTAACAAAAACAATAAACACATTAGAATATTGTTTATTGATTATTTGTAACTTTATAACGTTTTTATTTTCTTTTGAAATATATCCCGAACGCGATTACATAATGCCTTATTTTCTTGTATTATACAAACCGATTTCGGAAAGTAAACATATATATCTTGAAACACGATATACAAAATAGGAAGCTCTGTCACAATCAATCCGCATAAGGACTGGCGAGGATATGTGAATAGCCCTGCAGACCTACCCCAGACCAACGCCAACCCGCGTACAATTATAAATTATAGAATTTTCATAGTTTAGAGAAATTAATGAAAAGTCTTTGTACTACATTACGCCTAGTTGATTCATTGCTATTATCTACTCTAATAATTAATATTTTAAATTGATATCATTTTAAATTAATCAATATTTCATTTCATTTTTAAATTTTTCAAAACTTTATTATTATATTATTATTATTATTATTATTATTATTATTATTATTATTATTATTATTATTATTATTATTATTATTAGTAATTTTCAACCGGGCCGTATAGGCGAGCCTCCCAGGGGGCATTACGGTTGGGCTAACTGCGGGATGATCTTCTAGTCTACATGATCCCCCTTTCCTAGGGATGGGGTCTCAATACCCTCAGTAGCCTCCCAAGCGATGGCTAGCGCACTTGCGCCTTTGTCTCCGATCCTCTGAGCGCCTCCGTGCGCGCTTTCCGATCTCCTATATAGTATTTGTTTGAAAGCTGCTTTATCCTGTAAGGGTAGCTTTTGTATACATTCTATTGCAACATGGTTTTATTATTATATTACGATAATATTAAAGTTCTTATTAAATAATTTTGAGACAATTATAATGATATTTTGATTTATAATCTATTTTTGTTTTGATAAATAAAAGTGTGTAAGATATAGGGTTGTGCAAGATGTAGGGATATTGGTTATTGAAGAAGAAAATAGAAAGATAGGAACTTTCAACGAAACTTTCTGTTAAAGTGACTGCGGCATTTCCCGAAAATCTCTTATAGCCTATAATATATCTGACAGATCAGCACCCAGGGGTTCGTATCTCGCACTCTTTACCGAATTAGTATCTGACATCTTCAATTGAGGAGGCCAGAAATATCACACGGGGTATGAAAAATACAGGGGTTCACGGGCGTATCCGCTGTAGAAACCCCCACATTCTGATTAGCGGGTTACTAAAGTACTTCTATCTCCGCTCCAAGATCTTTCGGTTTATCGACAGTAATCCTTGCTCAAGAGACCTAGAACACTGCATGAGATTCTAAAGAAGTGCCCAGCTTCCGTCGTTCATTTCAAAGATGCTACGCAATGACGGATCCCATTACCAATATTGCTACGCTGCTTGAGTATGAAGACCTTCCAGATGGAGACTCAGGGATTCATTTGAGTCGAATATTACTTCTGAGGTCGCTGATGAGTACTTCCGCCAATGAACTGTCAATTACTTGCTTCTATCATGGCTTTAATCACACGCCGCGAGCTCGCATCAATGATCTGTCTTCAATCTTACATCCTAGATGCTTCGCATGGAATGCGAAATCATCCGTCAATACTAGCCTTTGACACTTTATCGTGATAAGGTATTCGGATATTAAAAACGTCATGGATTCGATCATTTTCTCCTCCTTTACAACAAACCCCACTTCGCAATGACTCCACTGCATTACCTGCATAACCTGCAGGAGATTGTCTAGCCCATAATAACTGACATAACTGCTGGTCCGTGACTCAATAGCGACTGGCGTAGAATTGTTGACGTGGACAAGATTCAAATGATCATGACTGCAGCCCTTGACCTCGCACCGACTACTAGGATGGAGCCCCGCCGCAGTAGATGGACCAGGTTAATGATGGCAAATGAAAGAGGCTGTGAGACCGATTTACCCGCCTTAATGGCATAGGAGCATTGTAGAGTCGCAAACTCTCTCAAAATGGTCTACTACGCGATAAAGAGAAGGTAAGATTCATCGGCTGCGAGTATTATGGACTGATGTGACACCAAATAGGTTGCTTGCAGGCTTGTTCTCCGAGAATCCATTGGCTCTAATGCGTTGAAGCTTACAGCTCTGCACCCGGGACCGAAGAATCTGTTGCTCTGCAGCGCGCTCGGCAATGCTGGTTCGATTTTCAAATTCAAGGTCTAATAGAATTTTGCAGCGATGCTGAGGATCTTTAGCAATGATGACTGCAATCGGTTGCAGGAGATGCATGTAAGATAATATTGAAAATTCTTCAATGAGATCGAGCTCCGTCTGTACGTTGGCCGCACAATCACAAGGAATATCAACGCATTCCCCGTCTGATGAAAACGAGGTACTGACCGTATCACTATTTGGTTCATAAGATGCCACTAGATAGCCGAGGATGACACTAATTACCTAGGTGCAGAAGGTAGAGTCTGGGCTAGATTATTTGTGGTGCTCACTCTACTACAATCTCCTTGTAATTGTGACCACACATCTTCACTGATTACAAGGATAAGATAGATCTCTTGCAATATTGAGATGTTTGTCTACAATGGTAGTCTTCATGCGACAATCATGCCAAAGGGTTCTTCAATCTTCCAAGTTCTTCCTCTCCAACAACTCTATTCCGAATGCTACCCATCAAAACATCCCAGTCAACGCATTGTCTGTACGGTCTCTCCGGAGCCAGTAGCGGACCTTTCAATCCTTCCCTCCAAATAAAAGTCGTAAGTGTTGCAAATCAGGCCCGGGCACATAACGGTAGCCCTGAGCATTTCAACACAATGTCCAACATGCACCTGCAAATTCCTCAGCTCCTGACCCTGCACATTGGGATGGTAGTGTTCTCGGTAATTAGCTTGTTGGAGAATCTTGACACAATGCAACTCATGAAAGACACCCATCCAAGCGAGATGTCCTCCATTGGGCAAAGCGACAGATGTGAGAGAATGGCTAGATAACTCCGTCTCGCTGACGCGTATGCTCATATTGGAGAGTAAGGAGTGCCAGGCTGAATCGACAGATGGGGATGGAGGACCGACGAAAGGGCTCTCGTGCATGAGAGAATACTGGTGCGAATGGTAATTTACGGCCAGGTCAGGTAAAGCTATCCCCAGTGTTTAGTGATTATCGAATCTAAGCTTCAATTGGGATAAATGGCCCTTACCATGATGGGTTTTCCTCTGTAGTGAAGAACTAGGAACATGGAACCAGACGATGACCGTAAGACTTGTGATGGAATAGAGAAATATTAGGCCAATGTGCAGGACTATTTCTAAACCTAGTTTCCTTCGGCTTTTGGCAGGTTTCGCTCCGAAAAGTTCCGAATGGTCTGGGAATAAAAACGGAAAAGTTTCGGTCGAGTCCCCAAGTTCGATCTCTGGGACTCCAAATCTGGTAATTTGTGTGTGCATTTTGAGAATTGTAGGAGAGGAAGATATCGTGAGACCTCAATCGATGCAAAAGTGGGACCTTGTCTATTTCTATGGAGAGTCGTGTTGGGAAATAAGTGACTCCAAGGAAGAATCATTGAGCAATTTCAGTTTGGATGCTGCTGCCACGAATCTGCTCTGCTGCACGAAGATTCAGAAGAGAGCATTGCAACATAATGTCTTTTAAGCGATGTTGAAAATTTCCCGAGGATATATTGTAATGCTCAATTGATACCTATATATGCATACTATAAACGTAAGACGGGCAAATATGCCAGTTTCTAATCAGTACATTACCCGGAATTACCGAGGCTCTGGGAGGACTTATGAGATGCTCGTTGGCATGCTACGGGCATGTATATGACAGTCAATGAGCCCCACATTTGTCCTATAACCCGTAATTCTAAAGTTTGACATCACAACTTCTGTCTGATTCCATACCTTCAATCTTTGAGAAAAACCACCAAAAATTGCGTGCATCAACTATTCTCACAATCCTGCTCAGCACATTAGCCATCGCAGGACCTATTGAGAGACGTTCTGGGACCGACGACGTAGTTGTGTATCCGGACGAGAAACTGTACAATGAGGAATACAAGAGATCTCCAGGTAGATCTCAAGAACTAAACTGGCCGTATTTGTTCTTGGATTGTTGACCAACTTTGGTGCTATATAGTAATTGTGGCTACGGAAGCCGATGATAGTGTTGTCTATCCCGATGAAAAACTCTATAATGAAGAGTACAAGAGACATACAGGTACGCAATTAATAGGATCTTTCATTGCAAACAACAGCTAACAATCTTCTTTGGTTTGAAGCCGATGAAAGCGTCGTCTATCCAGACGAAAAGCTCTACAACGAAGAGTATAAGAGACACACAGGTAAAACTTCTCAATAGAATGTGTTTGAACACTGTCGCTGATTGGTTTCCATGATAGCTGAGGCCGACGATAGCATCGTCTATCCCGATGAGAAGCTTTACAACGAAGAGTACTAGGCACTTAAATGCTACTATTTAGGCGGGGAAAACATAGCAGATAGCTACACAGAGCAGGCTGGATAGTGTAGACTTCCACAATTTAAATGACAAGAACCACAATATTATCAGGGATCTGAGAATTTTCAGTGCTGTGATTCACACGTAGTTCTCCGTAGAGAGATAGTTGTAGCAGAGGAAATGGTTAGAATCATTTTTCCCGACTAATTCTAGCCCCACAGAGTTGACTCAAAGGACCTTTTACCAAAGTTTTCGCCCGCGTATATTCAATCCAAAATTTGAATTTTGTATGCATCGAAATCCATGTAAGTTGTCTTGTTGTCTTCCGTTGCCCACGTACTTTGGAAGGCGATGACCCAGTCACATTTACCCAAGATGGTATATTGCGCAATCTTTGTGACTAGGGAGCGTTGCATGCCCAGACTCTAGGTTCATTTGATCTCTGTCAGCTTGCTTTCTTTCTTACCGAGCTCTACAACCAAACCCTCATAAAACTTAGATGTCTCATAATTCTCGCACATCTCATAAATCGATAGCAGAGTAAATCCGCCCCGCCTTTATTATTATTCTCATACCAAGTCAATTTCCGAAATTCTTCATCTCAATATGGCAGCCGTACAGAACTTGTCAAAGAACCACAACTACGAGTCACTCGACCAAGAGGAAAACGAATTTCTCGCGCAATCAAAATTTTCACAATACAAAGGAAAGGACAAACTAAGACAACAGTTTTTATATTGCATTTGCGCAATAATTGTCTCCGCGGGATTTATAATTAGTGCGGGGATTGGATTTCTTGCTGGAAAAGTATATTCAATGCAGAAAGAGCTATCCCATCCATATAACAACGGCTATCCACGCCCGATCCTTGACCGTCAGTACTGGGTCTTCTCATGGCTGGATTTTTCCTGCAGACATCAACACTAACATCTGTCCGTAGTTGAACCTGTTGCCATTACGTTCAAATCGAATAGAACATACCTGGAGAGGCCTTCGCCTGAAAATGATAAGCTGTGGGAGGGACTATACCCCAAAGATCACCATGGTCTATTCGAGTGGCCAGAAGACAAGCCCGAGAGATCTGGCTTCGCAGGATTCCACCAACTACATTGCGTCGTGAGTACCTTAAGAATGAGCATTGCAACAAATTTACAGGAGCTAATCCTACAGCAGGATGCACTCAGAAAGAGGTTCTATCAAGAAGAAGATTTGAAGAAGGCTTTGATAGCGGGTGAGGATGTGAATGATATGCCGCAACACATCGATGAAACTCACGTCTTGCATTGCGTTGAATTTTTACGCCAGAGTGTTATGTGCCACGCCGATACTTCTCTACAGGTAGAGGCATCTTATCATCAAGGTATATTGGCCTTCGGTACGACTTATCCATGTAGAAACTGGTGGCAAATGGTTGACTGGGTAAATGAACGCAATGCAAAGGAGTAGTACTGTGGATATTATGGATAGTAGTGCGGTACAGGTGGATGTATGATTTATCTAAAGGATACTTTGTAATGCTCTGCACATATTTCAAGCACCCCGATAAGAGAGATACTGTGAAATCATTCCCATATTAAAGTGATAATGGCGAGCTCAGATCCTTCAGGTCGCGAAATACTTTGAAGCTTATACCTACTGTCTGCAGCTTTTACTAATGCTCCCCAGTCTTCCTGATCTCGCTCTCGAGCATTCTGAATTTGCTTCATGGTCATGTCTGTTGCCCTGTTTCAAAGTCAGATGCTGTCTCTTTTGCTCTGCTATTTTGGATGATGCTTACCGCAGAAATCGTTGCTCATATAGTGACATCGTGCCAAAGTCTGGTAGACATGCCTCGTTGATAACTACCTTGATTCCAGTCCTCATTGCAGGTATCAGACCTTGTAAAATCTTGATTGCATACTTGTCCGACCAGTCATGCAATACCCACCTCAGTAGATATACTTCAGCATCTATCACAGGCTGGGGATCGAAGAAGTTGTGAGGCATGAACGTCACTGAGTCAACTAAATCAACAGGGACTTGCGCTCCACTCACAACACTTTCGAGGTCTTGCACTATACAAGATAGACCGGGATACCTCCTAGCCAGTGCAAATGCGACCTTACCATGACTCCCACCAACATCAACCATCCTTTTAACCCTGTCCCACTCCAAAGCTTTATCCTCGACCAAATACTTTACAGCGATGCCTGGTCGTGCCTCAAAGAACGTCATGGATCCTGCAAAGTTTTTTGCCCTCTTCTGGTCGTTTCCTAGCACCTCAAACATCGGTCTGGATTCATTATTCACAATATTCCATCCAGCCTCATTTGGCTCCTCAGAACCCGGCCATTTTTCCATTGCATCTACCATTCTCGACGCCGCCGGTAATAGCTCGTCCAGGGTAGTTGCTATCCATGCTCGCAAATCAGAACGTTCGGAAATTAAACGTGACGATGCAGTATGGCTCACTATCCCAGGGCTGTTCTCGGCAAAAACATGAAAAGTCATTGCATGACGTAATACACGAGTAGTATCGACAGTATTAAGCCCTCTTGCGAGTGCGATATCCTCGAAAGTTGCAGTTGAGTCAATCGGAACAGCAGTAGCAAGATCATAGCGGATGATTGCATGAAGTGAATTTCGGGCATTATGCTAGTATAAAGTAAATAAGGGATAGGTGATATGGAAATTGTTAAATTGCACTTACGGAATAACCAACAATGTGCATTAAGGATTGCATTGGCCCTTGTACAAGCAATACAAGTTCATCGGCGGCTTCAAGAAGGGCTACCTGTGTTCCATGAATTGCAGGAGGTAAATCGACTGGGGAAACCGGCTCAAAGGTTGGCAGAGCAAGATTTTCCCTTGACAACTGTGTCTCAATCTCGATTGCATAATCCGAAATCCGAGATGCAAGTTCTCTGATACGACTAGAGGAAGCCATTTTCGGCTAGTTTCTTTCTCAGAAATCGATACTCGAAAAGGTAAAAAAGAAAAAGCTGAAGATATAGATCCAGCGGCATCAAGCTTTATACATGTAGGAAGACGCGGAGTAGCCTACATCAGGCCATGTTTCCCGGTGTCAGATTCAAATTTGGACGGGGTTGCATGGTATGAACATCTAGCCGTGTCAAACTTGTAATAAGTCTTGAGGCTGACATTCATCAATTTGCTTGGAATGAGCATCAAAAACATATTTCATGTTATCCAACGCTCAGAGCTTCTTCTTCTTCTTCAATAAAACGTTGTAATTATACATTGAGTTCTGAAGAAAGCCATCTTTTTTTGATAGTATTGTTGATTGAACATTAATAATCATCCGAGCTAATCATGGATCAAAAAGTTGTTTATCTGATGCCCGAATTCAAGGCTAAAGAGCCTAAATTCGGTCGGTTTGGCTTAGTGTAGCGCCGATCACGTGTTAATTCTCAATCGTGATATCGCTTGCCATGTGACTGAGGCATCAGCATTCACCAGTAACAATTTTCGATTGACTTTGATCCAGTAGAGAGGACGATGGCAGCCCCAGTATCAAGAGGCCTCAGAGCTCATAGAAAGTCTCGACAGGGGTGCATGGCATGTAAAGCACGAAAGGTGAAGGTAAAGTCGAATGAATGATTCACTTGCAACAGATGTTAGCTATGTTGCTGATCAAATCCGAATCTGAAGTGCAACGAAGCACGCCCGGCATGTGATGCGTGCGTCCGCCGAGAAATATCATGTCACTATCCCGAACCAATTCAAAAACGACCGACAGAGACAAGGTCCCCTTCCAATCCGCCTTATGACCTTGACCCCTCCAGGGAACTCGATATTACAGTGGCTCGTGAAACAAAAGAACGTCGATTACTTGAGATGCGCCTGCTTCACCACTTTTGTACTGAGACCGCCCAAAAAGGGTTCCTTTCCATTCACGATGAAGGTGTTCGTGATCTGTGGACTATAGGTGCTCCGATTCTAGCTTTCGATCATCCAGTTCTCTTGAATATGATGATATCAATTGCAGCTCTCCATCTTACTAAGATCAACCCAGCGGCTGAAGACATGGCAGATATTCATCGGATATATTTCAATACAGCTATTCGTGAGCATCGTCAAGTCATAAAAAACATCAACAAGGATAATGTTGAAGCTGTGTGCCTCTCTACAATTCTGAATGGGTTGCCCGCGTTCATCCTCCTGCAAAACAATAATATTGGCCATTACACAGTTCCAACCCAAGTATTCGCTCTTCTCTGTGGGAATGTTGTTTTGTTTTCGCAGACAATCCCTATGCTTGATCCGAATAGCCAGCTAGAAGCTCTGATTTCTGCTAAACCAGACATGAAGACGTTAATGGAAGATGTTCGTAGTAAAATATATCACCAACCATTTTCGGAGCTTTTAAACTGGAGGGCGCCGGGTGAGGTTATTGATGAGGAAAGCCAGGCTGCTTTTACTTTTGCATTAAATTATTGTGGACGCATTCTACTCGGTATCGAAGGTGGAGAGGACCTTTACGAACTTCGCCGTGTCATATATGCGTTTCCGACAGTCGCACCCAAAGCATTTGTTCAACAATTGAACGAAAACAGCAATCGTGCACTTGTTGTTTTGGCTCACTTTTTTGCACTTTGCAAAGCTGCCGATAATGTCTGGTGGATGAGAGGAATTGCAGAAAGAGAGGTGTTTGGCATACAATCCGTTCTCCCTGAAAATTGGCAATGGGCAATGGCATGGCCTGTGCAAAAGCTAGCAGCGTACGCTGCAATCAATGTGACTACTTCAACTAAATAGGCAGATGGTAATATGTCACATTTGTGCATTTTTGTGCAGTACAGACGAGAAAGCTACTTACGGATCATAAAATTAATCTCCAATTTCGATCACAATGGCACCGGCCCCGCTGCTGCACGAATTCGTTTCTTGAATGCTATAATTCAGACAATTTGAGCATGTGCCCTACCTCTCAAATATTCTTCGGAGAATCGTGAATGAAGAGGGCAAAATCTCAATGGAATTACTGTTTCAGAGGTGTGGCAGTCTGAAGAACCCGCTGGACGACATTCCAATTAATGGATATGTTCTACGAGACAGGGAAGGAATTAACGATGTGATCGACTAATCGAACAAAAATTCTGAAATAAGGGCTTACTCATTTGCTGCTGATGCGAAAGCAGCCTTTGATCCATCTTCTTCGGGTATCGGAAGTGTGTAGCTCAGAGACCTACAATGATATGGATGCGAGTCCTTTCCAAATCGAAATCGATGGTTGATCTGATCTGACTTCAGCATCGAACTATGGGACACCACTTAGCATCGATGTTTCATTATCTCAGGAACTTATTACAATGGTACCAGCAGTAGATTAACTGTATCAATGCGCACAAGCCATATTCTGGCAAAGCCGAAGAAGTATTAGACTTTTTTACACTTCAATTATACTGGTTTTAGATGTTCTGAGAGCCCACGATTACTTCCTTTTTTCACTTTCGGAACACACCTCTGCTCCTAACCAACAAGAATTTAAGTTATCGCTAATTTTCATACACTATGGTCTCTAAATTACTTTCTCCGCAGCTGTATACGACTTGTTTATTTTAGCTTCTTGAAATATCGACTATTCGGAACTGATGTAAAGTATTGGTCTGATATATTCTATCAGTGAATTCAATAAAAAGTTATCTGTCCGTGGACACACGAAAATAGAAGATGTTTATGTCTTTTATTAATAGTTTCTATTACATATTGAGTTTGGTCCAGCCAGGAAAGCAAGAAGAGGCCTGCCAATCATTCGGAGTAAGGATAATTTCACGTTTTACTGCTTCCGTCATCTTATTAGAAGATGGCTGATTCGGTTCATTGAGCTCATGAGCCACCTAGCAAGAAAAGCTCACCTCCCGCTACGTCTCCGACAAACAGTCCTAGCTGCCCTGCAATTCAGCTCTCTCACGATCCCCAATCTCAGCTATCACGTTACTCGTGTTTCCAATGAAGGGTTGCTTTGGCGGATCATAGTACATTGGAGGCTCTGTTGAAGGCTCCGCAGAGGGACGTTTAGCATGGCGTTGCCGCCTGAGAAAAAGAAATGCCAGCCCAGTAATCGAGAAAGCTACAACCACAGCACCCACGGCAATACCGGCTTTTGCGCCTCCACTCAGACCACTGCCCTCAGAGGTGGATATGGATGCTGGTGTCGCCGATGTAGTCGAGATTACTGATTGTGTCGCCAAAGCGCTGGTGGTAGCTGTGCTAGAGGCCGACGAAGATGTCTGGGTCGAGCGTATTGGAGTAGGAGATACTGTCGAAGTTGATGAAGAGGCTCCATTAATGACTAAGAATCCGGTACTTGATATTTCTTGGGAGCTAGAATTATATACTGAATTGAGATCCTTGAATCGAAGGACATATTTTGCATCTCTACTCAGAACGTTCGTCGGTATTGTGATGGTCCAGTCATACGTGCCGCTGTTATTCGTATTCACTTTCTCTGGAAAATCGCGGGATAATGAATCAGTAAAACAATTTTGTACATTGAGTTTGGGAAGTTACAACGGCAGTGAATGTTCTTACCGGTGAGCAGCTGGCTGAATTGTGTTATCTCATAATCCCAGGTCGTAACCCACAGATTGGATAGAGTTTGAAATTGATAACCCTCTAGGGCTGGGTTCCAAGTAACCTGAAGGGTTATACCCTCGATATATGTCTTAGAAAGGTCCGCAGTGTTACCATCCGGCACAATCCATACGGTGGAAGAGACGTACGTTTGGGCATGTATAGGAAGAGCGTAGATAACAAAGATCCCGAACATAAGACTGAGGATGGAGCGTCGCATTGCAGTTCGTCTGCCGAGAAGAAATAGATGACTTGATCTCAACTATGATTATCCGTTGTCATCAAACAATCCTAATAAATAGGGATCACAAACTTGTGTATGAAGGATCAAAGAACTGCGTGAGTAATGTGCCACTTGAGTATTCATTTGGCAACTTTTGTAATCCTCAAAAATATTCACCACAATCAGAGCCATTTCAATGAAGGACAAGAATGTCTCATTTGAGAGATCCTTGTTGCTCATGCTTCTCTATACTGGTCGTTTTCTGTCGGGATATCAATCATGTGATCTAAAGAGGGCACCGTATTGCACTAGCACTAGCACTAGCGCTTACACTTTTACTATATCAAGTACTAGTTTCTTATAATTAATAATAATCAAACGAATAATATAATCAATTATATTAATAAGATTAAAATACTTTATACTTTAATTAATATTAAATTGATATTAATATTAATTAATAATATTATAAATTAGGGCCTTGGATTCTATTAGAAGCACTAGATATTTAGAAATAGTATTCAGAATTAATAGAAATTCTGAAAAGATCATAAAGAAAGATATTATTATACTAATATAATACATTTTCTTTTCTTGTTATACTAAAAAATATACTTTGGATAATTGTATCAGAAAAACATATTCAAAAAATCGACTGGTTAAATATAACGAATCGATTTTGTGTCTATTATGCATTCATCTTTGTATTACACATTGTACAAAGTAAATTCTTTATCTAAATATCTTTCATATACTCTCTCATATCTCTCATATCTATAATATACCTACAACCTTCGAAATACCTACAACCTATCTACAACCTTCGAAATACCTACAACCTTCGAAATACCCCTATACACACTTTATCATATCGGGACAGCGACAACACCCCAATTACCTCTAAGGTTATCAGCAAGGAATTATATATAGAAAAAGAAAAGAAGCACTACAAAGAGTAATTAAGCTTATTAAAGAAACAATAGACTGATAATAGAATTGTTGATTTTGACTCTAAAGAGTTTACTAAATATATCAAATTTAAATATAAGTAATATGATTATAAGGATATTAATAATAATAAGTTAATTGAGATCTTTTATAATAATTTCAATATATTCACAAATAAGCAATTCGCAAAGATTCATTAATTGAATATACAAAAACTATGAATAATATTACATGCCCAAGGGGTATGGATATCGAAATTAGGTATTGAAGTATTTATAGCTTTATATAATCAATTACATAGATCTACTACAAACGTATGAATGAAAGACTAAGTTCAGGAAGTTCTAAAAGATTATAATCTTAAAGAATTTAAATTTAAATCCAGAATAATCAATAGATTTATTGATAATAATTTCAAATATAATAAAGATAATCGAAAAGATAATAAAAAGAGTGATGAAGGAGGAGATTCTGATGATAACGACGATAGTGATGGTGATAGGAAGGATAATAGAGGTCGATGCAATAGGGATAAGAAACTATTAATATATTCTAATATACAATCTCTTGTTAGTTTATCGAAATTCTACACCAATAAGGAGAAATATAACAGGGACAACAATAATTTCAATTTTAAACTCTCGATATTCTACAAAATCTCATAACATACAGAGGTGCCTATAGATATGCAATACAAAGTATTCCTAATTATACTAAAGAATAGTGTACTTGAATTCTTTTATATCAACTACAAAGCACTACTATCTATATTCAGAGAGCTTTACACTTATATACGGAGTAACTTTGAGGGAGAAAAGTACCAACACAATATACTGTCTAAATGGAACAGTATTACTCTCAAATCGACTAAAAAGGAGTATAAAAACAAGCCATTTAGTAAATATCTTACCATCATAATCAAGCAGTTACACATGCTACAGTATCAACTTGATCCCGCTATACGACAGATGTTACATCTACACAATAAGCTTATACTGACATGTAAAAACATTGAAATATACAACCTAATTTATTTCGATTCTAAAAAGGAAATATCTAATTTAATCAATTAATTGTAACAATCCATTAATATATAGAAAAGATCACATAAGGAAGAAGATACAGTACTATTCACTAACAAAAGATTCCGCAATAATAATAACCAGAATAATTCAAATGATTCTAGAGGTTTTAGAAGTGATAATTTTAGAAGCAATAGCTTTAAGGGTAATATCAATAGATTTCAATAATAATCTAATTCTTTGAATTAACAAAATCATTACTGGATATACAAAAAAAAGGGATATCGATCAACAAAGCATTTTTAAAAGGAATAGAATAAAAACCAACATAAATACCAGAAAAAGATTAAGGATGGTAGTAACAATATATTTAATAAATATTACAACTAATAGTTAATCAAATACAAAGAAAAAGCTATTAATACAAAATCTGATTCAAAAATCGAAATAGGATAATTCTTTATAGATCTTGATATTAATAATACTGAAAAAAAAGCATTTTTTATTAATTCAGAATCTATAAATAGCTAAGAAATATTCAATTAGTTGTTAGTCAATACAATATTGCATATATTGATTAGAGATCCTATTGAAGCTACTCTACCAACAGAAAGTATGATAATATCTTTTATACAAATTATATAAATAAGGAGTTCTTCGGTATAAGAAAGCAGGCTAAACGCATTAGGCGTATTACGTAATCATCTTGATTGATATAGTCAACTGGATTGTATATAGCTTTCAATAGAATACGCACTACACTTAATATTAATAAATCTATTTATTCTATACATCTTTTCTGATGACCTACACAGGGATTCAAGATACGTTCAATATCTTACCTCCATTCTCTTCGTAATTAAGCCTTTTAATTAAGAATATTCAGAAACCCTCTTTACCTCTAAGTTCGTCGTATAGCAGTACCTGTACGACAATCAATATATCAGTATCAAAAAAGCTTTCAAAAGAGCTGTAAATACTATACAATCTTATTGATTTGGAGGACTATTATATAGTTGTGGAAATCCAGTATTTGAATAACTTTTTCTAATCCTTTTTTTTATCTTTCAAATATTCCTCTTTTCAGAAATACTCTACATATTCACTTTTACAGTATTTCCTATAAGGATTCAGTATTACCTTATTACCAGAATACGAATTCCTTTCGACTTTTAAAACACCTTTTTAATACTACTCTTGATTCCGGAAATCTACGACACAGGTTTTCAATCTCACCCTGAACGATATTAGCACTATCCCCTTCAAGCGAATTCAAATTATTATTCGATTCTTTCGATATTATCCTTATTTTAGTCCCGAAGAACAAAACCTTTACCTTCCACTCGCTTAGCAGTTACTAGAGGATATACGAAACCCCTCCAAAGACCTAATCCTACTACTTATCAAACTATGACTTCGACTTTCCATCCTCCAAATTCAAGAAATCCTTCCAATATACCATCCGCCGAATCCTCCTACAATATCAAATAACTTCATTGCTTCAACAGCTCATACTGAATAGACTAAAGTCAAGGTTGATAATATACCATCTTTTTCAGAAGAAAAGAATATTACTAAATTATAGATTCGGAAAGCTAAGTAAGCTATATATCTTACTATTAACAACGACACTTATAAGCCATACACCTTCTTCAATCTCGTTCTATTTAAGTTTGCTGGTAGAGCTAGCAAATAACTAGATAAAGACAGAGAGTTTTCTGAGGTTATGAATAATATTAATTTAGTAAGCAAGGCTTTACAAGATAAATTTATTATTACTTTTATTAACCGCTTTTCGAATAAAAAAGATAAAGATTCGGTATAAATAGTTCTCAATGCTATAAGCTTTTTAGTTTAAAAGAAAGGCGAATCCATTCAAAAATACTATCAACATATTAAAGATCTATAGTCGGAAATGGACTGCAAAGATATATCTTCCTTTGAGTGTAATGCCGATATTCTTTAAATCAATATTCAAGAAACCTTGATTAAAGTATTCGTTACCAGTCTTATCGATTCTGATTTCTGCTTAGAATCTATCAAGCTAAACACTATCTGCAGATCCCTAAATGAAAGCTATTTCATAATATGCAATATTCAGAAGAATATAGAAATGAAAAAAATACTTGCTCAAAACAATATCATCGATTATATTGCTAATACTTTAAAGAAACAAAACCTTAAGGATTTGTTTAAAGAGAAGATTGAATCTTTTTAGGATAAATATTTCAATCCCAATCCTCCAATCGATAGAATCGGAATACTTCTAACAACAATTATAATTTTAATAATAGAGGAAACAACAATTCGAGTTCGAGATTATCAAATCCAACACCCCAATCTGCTTATATTCAAGCTCCTGTACCGATAGGCATACAAACAAAAGAGACTGAACTAGATCTAAAGAATTCTCGGAATAATATTATCAATGAAATGGAATAATACGACTACTTAAAAAAGCCTTTGTATTTTAAGTGTGGAATCTATAGTCACACTAAGCTGGACTATATGAATCAACCTCTTCAATACTGGAAACAAACCGTTTTAAAAAGTATGGTTTTCCCAAACCATTTTATTATAGCTATATCAATAGCTTATATACACCCTCAATCGTCTAATACTAATAATCGAGTCGACCTAAACAACTATCAGAAACCTAAGCCTCCCACCAGCCCGGACTCAATCCCTTTTAGATCAGGTTTCATTTTCTTTTTGGCACAAATCAACAATGATTCAGATTATTCAGATAATGAGATGCTTGTATCTGAAATATATTCCTTTGATATAGAATTTAATATAAATATGGATGACAAGCAAGAAGATCAAATTCAAGTTTTTAATTTATCGTTTTGCAAGAAAGCTAGATCTAATAATATATCTAGTACTACTGGAGATCAACATATTATATCTTGTACAAAGGATACTCATATAAAGGATACTTTCTGCAACAGATATTCCGATATCTTCGCTCTTTATTTTTGTGAAAAATCCAAGTCAATTCTTAAAAATTCGTTTCAATCTCTATTT